TTAAATGTAAATAATAAGCTTCCATGTTCAATGAAAGAATCCAGTTTTTTTTTCTAGATTGAAGAACAATACCCTCTATTGACAAGTTCCCAAATGAAAATTTTAAAATACCTATCATTGTTGTTTCTATAGTGCTCTGGAGATCAGTGTGTTTATTACCGTTCTGCTAACAGCTTTGATAAGAGTAAGTTGAACATTTATCTTATCTTATCTCTATCGTTATCTTTATAGTTAAATAAAGATTTTAGAATTCTTCTGAGGTATGTCTATTACTGGATACAGACCACTTTTTATCAAATTATTAACTACCACCTGAAACTTTGTAAATAGTTTCATCTCATCGTAACCTACAAATATTCTATTTACGAAAATTCTCGGAATTGGGTCGTTTTCAATCTGGAGGTCGGCAAACTTAGTATATTTAATTAGGTACTAAAAGCTCGTATATACCCATTTGCTTTCCACTTGGCTCGTAAGATTTTTTATCACAAAAGCGAGAAAATAGGTGGCCTACAAAAATATTGCGCCGTTTGACATATATAACGGTTCAATATTTTTGAAGGCCACTTTTTTCTTAACTTAGTCCTCAAGTTATCTTACGGTTCAAGTGGAAAGCTAATGGGTATCTACGAGCTTTTAGTACCTAATTAAATACATAAAGTTTGCCACTCTCCTGATTGAAAACGCCCACATTCCGAGAATTTTCGTAAATCGTAGAATACGATGAGATGAAGATATAAAGAGGACTATACCACGGACTATAACAAATAATAATAAAAACTATTATTGTAAAAAAAAAAATAAATGATTTCAATATCCAAAACATTATAGTCTTCTAAATCATCATTCCTTTGATGATTTATAATTATACTTATTTTAATAATAAAATTTTCTCTGATATTTCACTGTAGTTTCTGATCTCTTGATTCATTCCTAAGCCTTAATAATTAAGCTGAATCCATTAACGCTGACGCAAAAAAAGTTCGTCAGCACTACATAATGATTTTTCTCTTAATTACTTATCTGTAATCATTACAGCTTTTCCGAGAAGGAAAGTTTTTTTTTTTCATTCAGGTTCTTCTTTGAAAATTCATAAGATATCTTCTCTTTTATTCATATTTGTAGGTGTGTAATTAGAAATAAGGATAATTTTTAAAAATCGAATGACGTTAATTTAGCAGATAAATTAATTTCGGTGCAGTCGCAGTAATCACTCATTATTGTATTTACTCAATTTACAACGAGATTCTATAGAATAAAAATATTAATCTCCTACTCAAGAAAATATTTACTACCACATAGCTATGTCGGTTGTCCCATATTATTCTCATTCTGTAGTTTTCTTCTGAATAGCTATCGGCATTATGTCTAAAGTGAAGATTTTTTTAAGGGAAGTACCTCAGAAAAACCTTGATACGAATTTCGATAGCAATAGAAAAAAAATAGTATAAAATATAAATAATCAAATAAACAAAGTTACTTTACAGAAACATATTTTTATATCTTCCTAAACATTTCATGTACAAGTACGTGAGATTAAAAATAAATTTACCCTTCCCATTATTTATTTCATTTAATTATTTGGTATTGAATACTTCATGGTTGACCGTTGTATATTATTGAGTAAGGAGATGGTCCAGGGTGGCGGTAATAAAAATATTTGCGGATTTTTTGAAATTGAGCCAACGATTTGTTTCGTTTATGTTTTTGTAGATTTAACAAAGTTTCTTACTTTAGAGTAAAAAAAGGAAGCAAAACGACCTTCCATAGGCTTGGTAAAACATTGTAACAAATCTGGTATTGCTTGTAAGTGTGGATGTGTTGTAAATCCATAATGGATTTTTCAGTGCAGCTACATTTGTGGAACCATATTCGAACATGTTAAACAGGCCGTTTGGTTTAAAAGTTCATGAAATTCTAAGCTCTTTGAGACCATTAACTCGTGAAACGTATATTGTTCGTCCTAACTGTTTTTTAAAGCTTTTTAAATGTTTTCCAATAAAATGATCACACTATTATTGCCTCAGCGAAATATATTTACAGTTTATTAGAATCGAATATAAATATTAATAAACCTAATAGCGTTTGTACAGTTCTCAGAAAGAAAAATATAAACAATACAATAAGGAACAGATATATTAAAACAACTACTAAATAGTTTAGTAATATAACTATAACTTACCAAATAGTTGTTTCTCATACACAAAGCAGTTTACCTGTGAAAACGAAAAAAAACAAATATTTATTAAAAATTAGTCAAAGGGCTAATGATTTGAATATTAATAAAATTTTATTTAAAAATTACGCTATATAGGTTATTGTGATATCGCATCGTTGTGATCAAAACCATTTTCGGAATAATGAATAATCTGAAAAAAAAAAAAAACCCACCATTTTAGGTCGAAATTAAAGTAAAAAATCTACACTTTTCAGGTACTTCCTTCTGGTGTCAGGTCCCTCTGATGGAATCTGGAAGTATCTTCTTGAAAAATTCCTCTGGAAAAACTTCTCCAAAGGACTCCTCCAGACTTGACACCTTTCTCCAAAGAACTTATCTAACAGATTCCTTCTTCCATCCAATAATATTTTCATCTATTTTTTTCCCTCATTCATTTCCAGGCTTCCCTATCGGTTTAATATTTGTTACATCGTAGGAATAGGGCTCTCACCCTTTTTTTCTGTAGAATTTGGAACATAGCTTCGGCACTTTTTGATCTTTATCGAATTATGACAAGTTTATCTTCATGACATCCTAAGCTGATTAGTCTGGAAGCCCGTGGCAAAAAAGGTATCATATTTCAAACTAAGCTTTCTCCTTATAAATTGATCATATCCACAGGCGTGATGTGAAAAATGCACGTATGCCAGCATATAGCCGCTGAAATAGAAAATGGCGGTCATGTGAAGATCGATTGAGACCCTACATAGATTGTAAGCGTATATATAGAGAAGGCTTATAGATATATAGAGCTACCAATCCTTTCAATTTGTAGTATTTACAGTCTTAAGACATGAAATAATAGTCAGTTACCCCATACTCCTGGATTCCAAGTATTTTTTTTTTTTTTTTTTTTTTTTTTATTATTTTAATGGAATTTACAACTGTATTACATAGAGAATACAATAAGTAAATGAGAAATTTGTAACATGGCATGTACAACATGAAGAGAAACTACCCATTGGTAGAACTCAAATTAAAGTTCTATATTAGAAGATCCCGAGGCCATCTTCTTTTCAGACGCCTCGGAGGGTTATCAGGGATCGAGGAGGAAGCAAGGTTTGAAACGAGAGGATTCGGATGATTCTGCAGTTTGTTATGGAAGGAAAGGTATCTGGATTGGGCCAGATCGGAAACATATGGAACATTAAGGTCTTTATGGATGATTTTATTTGTGACAAAGTAAGGAGCGTTGAGGATTTTACGAAGGATTTTGGATTGTAAGGATTGGATACGAGAGGAATTCGATGGTTTAGTGGAGCCCCAAAGCTCAATTCCGTAAGTCCAAATAGGTCTTATTATTGTCATATATACGAGTCGTTTATAATTGATTGAAAGCTTAGATCGTTTGTCTAGTAAGTGCTGCAGTAGTCGAAAACGTCGGGCGGTTTCTAGTCGTTTCAGTCTGGTATGGGGGTGGATTCCAAGTATAAAAATTAAATTTACGTTTTTCGTTTTTTCGCTTATATCAGTGAAAATATCCGTTCTATCTATAATAATGTCATACGTGGAATAAAAGCTGAAAAAAATTTTCAATAGAAATGGTTATGTTAGTGTTTTCGCTATATTCTATAGTTCCCGTGATATCCGTACTTGTATTAAATATTATACATTGGCTTATATAATATACATATATATATATATATATATATATATATATATATATATATATATATATATATATATATATACATACTGTATTGTTTATAGATTAAGAGGTGTCTAATAACGAATATTGCGAAAAGTAAGTTATTCTGTATAGTTTCGGAGTTTAATCATTAAGTTATAATTATTCTAGTCTTTGAATGGTTGAAGATATGATAGTAAAGTAATATATATTATTAAAGAAAATTTAATATTAAACAACTTTCTTCCTCGTGTCGTTTTCTTAAAATGAGAAGAAGAGTACAAATAATGATAAAAATGCGACGTTAACATTTTTTTTTCGATATTAGTGAATTATGACGACGGATATAACGGAAGCTATAGAATATAGCGAAAAAAGTAATATAATCATTTCTATTGAAAGTTTTATCAGCTTTAATTTCACAAATAACATTATTATAGATTGAACGCATAGTTTCACTGATATAAGCGAAAAACCCAAAAAAGTAAACTTTTTGAATCGTAAATTCAATTTTTCAACTTGAAATTCAGTGGTAAATGACTATCATTTCACGCCTTAAGACTGTAAATACTATAAATTGAAAGGATTGGTAGTTTTATGTACCTATAAGCCCCCTCTATATATACGCTACAAACCTGAGTAGGGTCTCTAATAGAGACTCAATCTATCTTCACATGGCCACCATTTTATATTGCAGCTGCCATATGGTGGCAGACGTGCGTTTTTCTAATCAGGCCTGTGGATATGGTAAATTTATAAAGATAAACTTTAGTATGAAATATGACACCTTTTTTTGACACCACGTGTTCCAGGACTGAATTGTCTGCAAGGCAATCTCTAACTCAGCTGTGTTATGGAGCAGGTACTGCTCTATCGAAGTTTATCTCAATATTATGTGTTGGCAATATTTACATTTTTCTGCACTAGACTGACTCTACTTATTGATATGTATTTCAATTCACACGTCAACGTCCTCCATGCATAGAAATTGGTATATGGAATAGTTTTATTATCAAGTGCAGTATGGACTTTCTATGAAACGAAGAAGTAGTATAGATATGGAAGGAACCTCTAATCGACATAACAGCCAATGATAAGGGAAGATTTATACCGAGGACGCAAGAGTAATGGCCGTAGAGGAGACGGTTCCATTTGATGGCTGAATGGCTTTATACCGACCTTGGGTCGGCGTTGGGGATATATTTCTGCTTCATCCCTCAGCCACTTAAGTATTTTTATAACGTCATTAGGGCGGCGCGCCACCCTCGAGGACGTAACAACGCTTCTACAACTTTACATCATTACCTGGTCGACTTCTTCTGTTTTCATTTGAATATCGATTAGATCTCCATCATCGTTATATATTTTTTTATTACATTTGGAAATTTCTATTCAAAGGAATTAATTTCAATCTGCAAGACAAATATAATGAGGTATTGCAGTGTTTATTTGACCTCTGTTCAATTTGAATGTCACGTTATTAGCAATAATAATCGCAAAGAATAAGTTTGGTATCTAATAAAGAAAATATTTGTGATATGCGATTTCCATTTCCATGAGCAAAAATCAAAATAATGAAAATGTATGTCCATCTAATGTGTTCAAACTTCTGCTAAAATCCAACATATACGAATAAAATTACCCACATTAGATTAAATTCACCTAGTATCCTTATATTAAAAGTTAGTTGTAATTTTTTTTAGATCTTCATCCGCACCACATCATCATGATATTGACAATTACCAGATTTCTTGTTACGGTACAAAATGACATGAGAAGCATGGTGAAGTACCATAATACCCAGCAGTACCTTTTCCCTGTTTACATCCTTAAATTAGGAAAGAAGATCTCTCATCCAGCTCCTATATAGTCACCACAGGCGGATCTACAGTGAGGGGCTTTCGCGCTGAAGCACCCCCTTCCCCTCTCCTTTCCTCCCCAATCGTAAAATATAACCTTGTTTTATCGAAAAAATATTAAAAACTATACCTTAAAGTATTCTTGTTTGTGTAATTACATTTAATAGAACTTCAAGAACCACTTAAACACCATTACATATAGGTAGTTTATTTCTTTATTTTTTTTCAAATTAATTATTCTTATATATCTATATATATATATATATATATATATATATATATATATATATAGAAAATACAACAAGTAAATGTGACATTGGTAACATGACATGTACAACATGAAGAGAAACTACCCATTGGTAGAACCCAAATTAAAGTTCTATATTAGAAGGTCCCGAGGCTATCTTCTTTTCAGACGCCTCGGAGGGTTATCAGGGGTCGAGAAGGAAGCAAGGTTTGAAACGAGAGGATTCGGATGGTTCTGCAGTTTGTTATGGAAGGATAGGTAGATAGGTAGATCCAGATGGATTGGGCCAAATCGGAAACATATGGAACATTAAGGTCTTTATGGATGATTTTATTTGTGACAAAGTAAGGAGCGTTGAGGATTTTACGAAGGATTTTGGATTGTAATGATTGGATACGAGAGGAATTCAATAGTTTAGTGGAGCCCCAAAGCTCTATTCAGTAAGTCAAAATAGGTCTTGTTATTGTCATATATACGAGTTGTTTGTAATTGATTGAAAGCTTAGAGCGTTTGTTTAGTAAGTGCTGCAGTAGTCGAAAACTTCGGGGGGTTTCTAGTCGTTTCAGTCTGGTATGGGGGTAGTTGTAAATTAAATTTGATTTATTGGCGATGCGCTTACTATGGTAATCATCAAAGGATAACAATGAACCACTAGCGGGTTCAAAGGGTGAAGGGTTTCGAGCTGAAGCCTTCCTAAAATAGATGCATTTTTTTTTTTTTTTCATTGAACCTCATTTATTTTATGTAATCTGGTAAGTAATCTGAGCCAAACAAATGCTCAATCAATCACTATTTGTTAACCATTTAAATTATTTCGCAAGTAATTCAATTTTCTAATTTAAGCACTTGTCAATATTTTTTGAAGGGATATTTTGGTACCCATTGGATACTGATTTGTTATTAATACCTTTAACACTCGGAACTGGAATGGTAAAAATTAAATTGAAGTAATACTAGTGTTTTCTCCCTAAACTTTTCCAACTTCATTTAAAATTTAATTAGTTAAATTATTTTATTTTTATTTTTGTAAAATTAACTCCTTGTTTTCAGGCTATCATTATTGGGGTACGTAAATGCGGTACCCGGGCGCTACTGGAAATGCTCTACCTCCACCCAGGAGTACAGAAGGCGGCGGGAGAGGTACACTTCTTCGACAGGGATGACAACTACAAGCGAGGACTGGAATGGTACCGGAAGAAGATGCCACACTCATTTCGCGGGCAGGTCACCATCGAGAAGAGTCCCAGCTACTTTGTCACACCAGAGGTGAGCCATTGTTCCAAATAGTTCCCAATCATATTGTATTAATCCAGACATCTCGATGATCAATCACTTTCTTGTCAAACTTTGACAATGTAACGGTTCTTTTGATAAAGTCAAATCTACATGAAAAAATAAAATAAATATATCACACCCAGTAACACAAAACCTAAATTTCAATGTCAAGACCAAGAACAAGTTGAAACTAAACCAATTATCAATCACACATATTTGTACAGATAAAGGCAGAGGAAACTATCCCATGTAATAACTATGCTGGTTATATTATCTAATCTATGATAAGGATTCTTAAAATAAATAGTAATTGAACAAGGTGGGAGTGGAACCTATACTATAACTGAGTATTCTGAGATCCTCGCTACATTGCACTAATTTCTGTGGTCTCTAAATTAACACAGTGTACATAGTATTGAGTATTCTAAAAATACTAGATTCTAGAATATATAAATATAACAATAACACAATTTATTAATTAAATAAAGTAAAGTACTAGGAAAAATCAAAATATGTAAAATAGAATAGAAAAATAACTTCATTACATTGTGTAAAAAAAAAAGAAGAAGTAAAACAGGAAACAGCAAGTAAACCAACTATATAAACACAAAAAAACTATGAACACTTAAAACTGTGAACAAATCTACAGGGCAGGGGGAAAGGGGGTATTTCGGGTTGAAGCCCCACCAAAATGGTAAAATATAAACATATTTAATGAACAAAATTATCTCTAAAAGTATTATTGTTGGTCTAATTACATTTAATAGGACTTAAAGAATCACTTTAACACTATAGGTAGTTAGTTTCTTTCTTTCTTCCGAAGTAATTATTCTAATATATACAAAAAAAAATTCGGGCTGGGGCCCTCTCCAATATTAAATCCTGGATCCGTTAGTGGAAATGATGAAACAATGTATTTCCTACTTAGAAAAAGAAATTAAATTATTTTACTATATAATAACAAAGTCTTTACCAACAAAAAAAGAAAGTGATTTCTGTCATTTAAAAAATGTTTAAATAGGTATATTTATAATCATACTGTTAAGGAAAAAAAAAAATACGGTAATTCATATAAAGATATATTGATCGAACATATGTAAAAAAAAGTATTATATCCAATATCTGTGCCTTTTCCAGCTTCTAAATTACCTCATCACCTATTTCCACCTGGAACACATAAGTTTCTGGTTACTACTTTAATTTTCTCACACTTTGAATACTATTGTACAGTATATGGTGGTGTCTCTGGAGAACTCAAGGGAAAACTAAAATGGTAAATAAATTGCTTTGTATGCTTCATCTTTGGGATCCCAAATGATGCCTCTGTCAACCGTTTTTATAAAGTGTTGAAGGGGTCTTATACCATCCTACCATTGTTAGTACTTTCTGATATCCTGCCTCTTCCACGTTATCAAATCCCGCTATCCATCATATATCTCCGGGCTCCTTCAATTAAAATCATTGGTTCATTCCAACAATACCTTCTCTAGATCTTTAGATCTATATACTGGTGCCCACCGATCTGTGGCATTTGACAAATCTTTCATTATCCTCGTATCTATGGAATTCCATTCCCTCCTACATCACTCATTCCACTACCCTGTCCACCTTTAAATCCCGGCTATTCAATCACTTCCTTTCTGTCCAGCTCCCAAACAATTTAAAGTAGCTTTTTCTGTAAACCTGTATATAAATTATTAGTTTATTTTTAAGTATTTTTTTATTGTTATTCATTGATGTTATAAATTAATTTATAATTATTTAATATTTCTATTTGTTTATTTATTATTCTTTTTATACAACTCTGAGGCTCTAAGCAAGGAGACGAGGTTAAGATTAGGTTGAAGGTGGGAAATGCTTGTTATTTTTCTTTGTCAAAATTACTTAGTTCTCGTCTCCTGTCCCGAAACTTAAAATTAGATTTTATAAAACCATTATCCTTTCTACGGTTGTTTATATCGCTTACATTAAGAGAGAGCAATTTTCTAAGGTTTTTGAAAATAAAGTATTGAGCAGAATATTTGGACCGAAATAGGACAAGTCAACCGGAGAATTTAGGTAGTTACTCAAGGCTGAATTGCGTGAACTGGAACCGGCTAATTTAATTGAGATGATTATAATTGAGATGAATAAAATGGGCATTTAAAATCACTGGGCTTTGTAACAAAAGAATTCCTAAAAAGTTAATATGTGCTGTACTGACTGGCAAGTGTCTCAGGGGTAGACCAAAGTAAAGGTGGGAAGATTGCGTTAAGGCTGCTCTGGCAGGGTGAAGGTTAGATGGAGCCCAGTGGATGGAAGAATGTGTACATCAATTTGTGGTATCGGCATCGAACCTTCGGGTTCGCTAAGCATTATTATTATTATTATTATTAATGAGGCTCTATAGCCCAAAATTGTATTATTATATATCATTCTGAAGGGGCTTGTTCCAGAATAAATGGAACATAATAATATATTACTATGGATTCTAGCTAATCTGAAACAATCCATAATCTGAACAACCCCTTTAGAAAAAAAATAGAAATTATGACAACAGATACCAACTTCACCAAGAAAATATTGAACATAAAATATAGGAAAATAAAAGTGACCAAAAAGTTTAAATACCTAGGGGAGATAATATGTAGCAATGGAACAGATAAGGAACAATCGGAGGAAGAATAACCAAACTGGAAAGACTGAATTTCGCCACCAGGAATGTTTACAACAAGAAAAATTTGTCCTCAAATGCAAAAATAAGGCATTACTATACAGTAGCAAGACCTGTAATATTATGTGGTATGGAAACAGTCAGCCTTCCAAGCCTAGAGAAAATCCTGAAGATTGAGAGGAAGATTCTGAGAAGGATTCACGGACCCAAGGTAACGCAAGAGGGATAAAATCCAATAAAGAAATATACAGAAATTTGGAAGATTTGGAAACAGTCGTTAGGACCAGAAGGTTCTACGGCACATAGTCAGGATGAATAGTGAAATACTGGATAAGAAAATTTTTGACAAAGTTTGCAGGTATAAAAGTAAAGGGGGTATGTGTAAAACAAATAAAAGAGGAACTAAACAGCCTAAAAACCCCGGATAAAGTTTGCTTGGATTTTTAAAACTTTTTAGGGAAAAACTGAAAGGGGTTGGTGTTCTTGTAGGTGGGAGGGAGAGACGAGGGAGAAAATGGACTATGGAAGAGAGAGAGGAACAGTCCAGGAGGATGAGAGAGTATTGGAATAAGAGAAGGTGTGAAGACTGAGGGTGTGAAGAGAAATGATATTCGCGTGGTCCTTGTTGGCCGGTTCATGCAAAAAAAAAAAAAAAAAAAACAATAATGAGAAAATATGTACTTTGAGTGACATAAAACGCAGAAAATTCTTGTAATAAACATAGAAATTAGGTTCAAATTAAATATGAGATTCAGATATCAATAAAAGCTCTTTTGTCGATTTTTAAATGATTTGACTGAATAAAAAAACAATTTGGCTAGAATGATATCAAATGTATATTAAAGTCACATATATATGTATGCACTTGTATTTATATTAGCTTTATGTAGAATCAAAGGTTACTGAAGAATGTGTCTTTTTAAGTTTTATCTTCAATTTATTTATTTTTCATGACTTATATTATGAAATTATTGTCATTAAATAAATATCTATTTATGACCAGGTACCTGAAAGAATCAGAGCCATGAACGCAAGTGTAAAACTACTGCTGATCGTGAGGGAGCCGGTAACAAGGGCAGTATCAGACTACACCCAGCTGAGGAGCCATGCGACAACATCACCTCCTTCACCTCCATTCGAGAAACTGGCAATCAGGCCCGATGGCTCAGTTAATGCTGGCTACAGGCCGTTGGCACTATCCCTCTACCACAACTTCATGCACAGGTGGCTTGAGGTAAATATCTGTGTTTAATCAGTATTCTTTGTTTAAGAACTGACTTATAATTATTTTCTATTTACAAGGTTTGAGACTTGATATCTGTTTGCAGTATTCTAGATTCAGCCAAACTTTATTTTTTTTATTGAAGAATTTTCTGCTCCAAGGAAATCTGTCATAGAAAGGAATTGATGTATATACAGATGTCCATAAAAGTAAGTTAAGCAGAAGTTGGTTGGGGACTTGTGGTTAAAGAAGAAGACATTGATGAGAAAAAACTTAAGTTCTGCAAACATTCCAATCTAATGTGTATTACCAATCTTTTTCTTTTCAAAAATACAATATGGCTATTAAATAACAAGACTGATGCTTTAAACTATTTTATTTTTGTTTCATATATATTTCCTTATTATCACCCCTCCTCTAGCTCCTTCAGGATGTGTTCTGCTTTCCCTATTACAGTTTTAATGCACTCTTTTGCTTGCTTGCTTGCTCTTCCACCTCGTTGATCCACTGCAGCCGGGGTCTTCTCCTATGACGTGCTCCTCCTGGGCAGTTATAGAGAAGTTTCCTAGGCAACCTGTTCTCCTCCATTCTCCCTACCCGGCTCCTTTTGACAATGGCTACCATATCCTCATTTTCATACAACTCATAGAGCTCGTCATTTTTCCATATTCGCCACTGGTCATTTATTTTCTTCGGACCTTATATTTTCCTTAGGACTTTTCTCTCCCAGATTATCAGAAACCTCTAACTTTCCTGTGTCAAAACCCATGTTTCACACGCATAGGTAACGATTAGCCTTATAATGGTTTTATAAATTATTACTTTTGTATTCCAGGTCAGTTCCATGGATTATAGTATTTTTGCCAGAGAAAAAAAAACACTTATTGCCAGGTGTAATACTGGCCTTTTTTTCGTCCTGCATTTTGTTTTGGTCATTTACTATCACTCCAAGGTTGAATTTTGTTCCCATTGGAAAAAGGTGCTGATAAATTTGAACATATTCATGCATCATTGCTACATTATTCTTGAGGACTTCATGTAAAGACTTTTCCCTTCATTATCCTCAGGCCAAGTTGCATTGCTGCCGCATCGAATTCTTCGATAGATCCCGCAAGGGCCGACAATGTGCGAACGCTGATAAGAATATCAGCCGCGTATGCAAGACATTGAATAAGTCGATTGAATATAGTTCCTCATATATACTTCATTTTATTTTCTCTTCTCCTAATCTTTACGCATAATCACTTAAATATCTTAGGGAACATATGTATATCATTATTTGTTTTTTTATATATTTTTTTGTTTTAGTTTTTACAATTTCTTTCCCTACATATTAACAGTTATTATTATTTTTTTTAAATTTTTATATTGCATCACTACAATGATTTACCTATAAAATAGATTGTACTTCCCTTTATAATTTCATTCAGTGATTATTATGCAATTATTCTAGCTCCAATATTGTAGTACTGAATCCCTATTACCAAACTGTCCTCGTTAATTAATACTTAATGTATTACATGTATTTTGTCATTATTCATTGTAATAAGTCTTTTGACCAGATTTGTAGTTAATATATATGTACAATACTGTTATTCTAAAGGGACCTAGTCCCAGAATAAAGATGATTTTTCTATTCTATTCTATTCTATTCCCTCCAGGATTGGTCCTTATTGCTCTAATAGCCCGCCCCAGGGCTAGATTAAAGAGGACTGGCAATATTTGGTCTCCCTGCTTCAAGCCCTGTTTTACCTCAAAGCTGTTTTAGAGGACGTTTTGAATGTTGACCTTACATTTGGTATCTCTTAGCGTCATCTCTGTCAAGACTATAAATTTTTCAGGAATTCCCAGCATCCTCATAGCCTTCTGTAATTCCTTCCTCTCTATAAAATCATATACCTGCTTGAAATCTATAAAGACATGGTACAGATCCACGTTATGTTTGTATGTTTTCTCTAACATTTGTCCTACAGCGAAGATGTGATCCACTGTTGACCTATTTTTCCTGAAACCACATTGATAGCCTCCGCAAATTCTTTCTCCTCATGACGCTAGTCTCTTACTTATAGCAATGGAAAGGACTTTATATACAGTTGGCATTAGTACTATTTCTCTGTAGTTATTGCAGTTCAACTTGTACCCCTTTTTAAAAACAGGACATAGAACTGCAGTGTTCCATTCTTCAGGTGTTCCATTCTTTCCTGCATATATATGAAGTCATAGAGCTGCTTAGTTAATTCTTCTCCTCCATTCTTTAGTAGCTCTGCTGGTATTTCATCCACACTTGATGATTTGTTGTTCTTTAAAGACATAATTATTTCCTCTATTTCTTCTTTTTCCGGTGGTATTTCCTCTTCCTTACAAATGTTTTCCGTACTTCTATGTGTTTCCTCTTCATTACTCAGTTCTATGTTTCCTTGATTGAATAATTCGGAAAAGTATTGTATCCATCTATTTAATATATCTTTTCTCGATCCCAGCAAGTTTCCCCTTTTATCTTTACAATAGTCTAGATGCAGTTTAAAACTGGTCCTTGCATTTCTTACTCTTTTGTGAAATTTCCTAGTTTTTTTGCTGCATACTGCTCTGGCATAGATTTTATGATTTTGCTTTCCCAAGCCCTCTTTTTCTTTTGACGAATTTCTTTGACTCTTTTTCTTTGTATTATATAATTTTCCTTTGTCGCCTAGTTGGCCTCTTCAAGAGGATATTGTGGCGCTCGCGATCATGAAGGAGAGCATTGGGGAGGTTGTATGGAGGATGATTTAATGGAGGGGAGGGAGGGAGAAAGGGGGGGTGTGAAAGTGATAGGAATATGATTAAGATGGATTATGAGGAAGGTGGGATAAGTATGAGAGAGGATTAGGTGGGGATGAGTATGGAGGGATGGGTTGAGGGTGGTAAGGGAGGGATGTTTAGAAGAGGTATGGAGAGATGGAGGGTGGAATGAATTGGGTTATAGAGAAGGGGGAGAAGGGTGGGGGGATAGATGGTGTATGAAGAGGGGGTAGGTGGGAAATAATTTTTGGTGAAGAGGGTATGGGGATAAGAGTTTAGTAGGTATGAGTTGTTGGGGTGGGTTTAAGGATGTGTGGTTTGTATGGTGAGTGGGGTGGGAGTGGGGGAAATGAGGGGTATGAATTGGCGAGTTGGTGGGAGGGTGGGGGTTTTAGGTAGTGGGGTGGATGTTGAACAGTGGAGGGTGGATTTAGTTTGATGGGGTGGAGTGGGAATATGGGTGTGGATGGAGGTAGTGTGTGGAATGTGTGTGGTTGTTTGAGGGGGGAGAATTGGATATGGGTTTGGATAAAGGTTTTGGGGGGATGATGTTGTGGTGTGGGATGATTGGGGGATGAGGGGGGGTAGGATTGGTTTTGTGGGTTATGGTGGTGGTGAGTGTGGAGGATGTAAGTTTGGGTTGGGGTTTGTTGGGATGGTTGGTATTGGGGGAGAAGTTGTGGTAGGGGGGTGTTGTTTGGGGTGGTGATTGTTGTGGGTTGGTGTTTGGTTTGGGTGTTTTGGGTTGGGGGGTTGTCTGAGTGTGATTTGTTTGTTGTTTTATTTGTTGGTTGGGTGTGTGTGAAAATGTTGTGTGGTATTGTTAGGGGGTTTTGGGGGTTTGAGGGTTGGATGGGTTGGGTGGTTATTTGGTATTATTTGGTTTGGAGAAGGGTTGGGTGGGGTAGGTTGTGTGAGGGATGTTTTGTGAATAAATGGTGTGTGTATATTGTATGAGTGTTTAGTGTTGGTAGGAGGGATTGGTAATATTAGGGTGTTTAGGATGTGTTGGTGTTGGTGATTGGTTGTGGGGCGGGTATTGTATTGTTTTTTATTTTTTTTTTATAAAGAAAAAAGAGTTGAATTTTATGGTTTGTGATTTGAAGAGTGTTTAGTAATTTGAATTGATTTTTTTTTGGTTGTGATATTTGGTGTTTATTTATATTGGGTATAAGGGAGTTGTAGTGGTGTGAAGAGGGATAGAGGGAGTTTGGTGTTGATTTTGTTTTTTGAAGTCTTACTAATTCATAAATGTGCCCTATATATAATTTCAGTTTTGTAAAACTTTTCATTTATGAACTACGCTGTTCATATTCGTACACACATCATTTTATTTTATGATTACCAGAAGTTCTAATTAATATTATTAAATTTTATTACAAGAGAATTTCATTAGTTATATCAATAACAATGAGAAATAACTCTTTGTAAATTGTTGTTTAGTTATCACTTCCTAATAAACAAAAACTTTGACAACCTTAAATAAATACCCATTTAATTGACTCCTTCTCTCCAAAGTCAAAATTTTATTTATTTTTTATTTTGCAATTAAGTTGTAATATCACATCCTTATGATTTTGACAACCATGTTACACTCTGTATAAAAATTGTAGACCTCCCTATTTTTATTAATAACTCTATCTTCCAATTATTTGAAATCTGCATTTATACATTCTACAGATCACTTCTTTTAATAAATGTTAAATCAGACACATGTTCCCATATTCAGAGAACAAGTTTCTTCTCCAAAATTTACAACCAGTCTAATCTTAGTTTTTTTAATATACAGAATTTTGCAGTGCATGACGGATTAGGTCATTCTGCACCAGGTGCCTCAATGCTTAATATGCTGTTTTTTGCTACAACTGTTGATTTTACTTCTTCTGATTTCCCTTCTGTGTAAGAACATCAGGGATTTTTATTATTTTTTTTATTTTTACAGAAAAACAAAAACTATCTTACTATTATCTCACCAGCTATACTATATCAAGTCGGGGATTGGCTTGTCATCCCTCTCTAGACCCATCAATTTGGTTCCATAGAATTGATTTTTTAATTTAATTCAATCTATAAAAATATAACAGGGGCTATAAAAATAGGAGATAGAGTGTCTAGAAGCTTCTTCATTAACAAAGGATTGAAACAGGGCTGCTGCCTTTCACCCCTGATTTTCAACATTTATATAGAACAAGCCCTTAAAACTGGAAAAGATCGTGCTGTGGAATGGGTGTTCAAATCAGGAATGATGTCATCTACAATTTGCAGTATGCCGATGATCAAGTCATAATCGCATCGGATCCGGATGATGTTAGCTATATGATGAGGAAGTTGCTAGACACGTATTCCAGATGGGGTCTGAAAATCAGTGAAAGTAAAACAGAGTATATGGTTTTCAACGCTCCAAATTTGCCCCTTGAAATTGATGACTGGACGCTAAATGTCAGCCAGCAGTTCAAGTACCTCGGATACTAGTTATCTTCAAAGGGTGGTAGTGAGGTTGATATCGAACAAAAAATAAATAATGGGAAAAGAATAATAAGTTCGATAAATTCAACCCTATGGAGTAAAGAAATAAGATTAGAAACTAAAAAGAAGATATACCATTCCTTTGTAGAAAGCGTAGCCACTTACGGATCAGAAGTCTGGACACTGACAAAAAAGATGGAAAATAAGTTGCTTTCCATGGAAATGGATTTCTGGAGAAGAAGCTGTGGCATATCCAGAATCGAGCGGATCCTAAACGCAGCTATTAGAGACAAGGTCGGATGTCAAAAGAACATCCTTCACCTGATCGGGACCAAACGGTTAAAGTGGTATGGCCACTTAATGCGGATGGATGAGAACCGCTGGCCAAAGAAAATTTATAACTATATGCCACCTGAAAGAAGGAAGCGTGGAAGGCCAAAGAAGAAATGGATAGAGGACGTGGAGGAAAGCATGGCAGCCAAAGGGCTTCGTGAAGGCTATTGGATGGACAGAGAGCAGTGGCTTTTGGGTGTTGGGAATATGACTCCTTAAGTTGTATAAAACCCAAATAAAAAAAAAAAAATAATAAAAAAGAATTGATTTTGAGAACAAGATATTTTTATTTTCCCTAATAGCACTTCACGTATCCCTATTGTCCATATTCCTCTTACAATCATTTCATCGTTAAATATAATTCGTAGTGGTTCGTTTATAGTTTAAATGTTCTCATCTTGGTTCACACATTTGAGTATCTCATTTCACTCCGTTATTTTTATAGTTTTTTTCAACTCTCCATTTCCTCTTATTTGACAATAATTATATTCATTTTCATTCAGTTAAATCTATCAGTTTAGTAGGGATTTTCATTTTATTCACAATCTGTAGGTCCTATCATAAACAACTTTCAAATCAAGTTATCATACCACCATAAGCCAATATGGCTCTTAACAGTAACGTTCAGCTTCTTGGGTACGCTGACTACTTTGATATTGCTGCCAGATCGAAATGTGCATTAAGAGAGTCATTCTTAGGAAGATGCAGCAAAGAAACTTGGGCTACACGTTAATGAAGCTAAGACCTAGTATATGAGAGTCGGAGGAGATGGGCCAGGGACCGGTTCTTTTGTGGCTGGACCATATAATTTCGAAAAGGTATGCAGCTTTGTCTATATCGGGTCTGAGATCCAAAAACACCATCGATAAGTCAACAGGAGAATAGCAACGGCGAGATGGTGCTACTTTGGCCTTTCAAAGCATTTTAGAAGCAGGTTCCTCTCCAACAGGACCAAGATCATTCCCTACAAAACCTTGGTTTGTAGAGTTTCCAGTTTTACCAAAGACTGACTTAAAACATGAATTCACTGACAAAAATTCTTGAGCATATATAAAATTGACCTAAACTATAAAAAAATTTTTAAAACTATATTTTAAATGTGTCTGTCAAGTGTTCTATTCCTTTTTAGTTGCTAAACAACCTCTGATAACTGTTCTGTAGTTAAAGGAGTCCTTTCCATACAATTAAATCCAGTTACTTTTTAAATTTATTCAATAAAAAGTATACAAATTTTTTTAGATTCCAATACTAAATAAATTAAGTTATTAAGATTAGGGTATTCCTGTTTAAATTTTACTTTCTTCTGATCATGGCTGAATTAATAAGAGCATTTATAAATTTGTTTTAGGTTTTTCCTCGGAACCAGTTGCTTGTTGTGAATGGTGACCGGCTCATTGAAGACCCGGTATCAGAGCTTGAAAAAATTGAGTCGTTTCTTGGACTTGAACATAGAATAGGTCGACATAACTTTTATTTCAACAGGACAAAGGGGTTTTACTGTTTAAGAAATGATACAGCAGACAAGTGCTTACGCGAAAGCAAAGGTCGCAGACATCCTAGGGTCGACCCAAAAGTTCTGACGAAATTAAGGAGATTCTATGTCGAACATAATCAGAAATTCTACGAACTTGTTGGAGAAGATCTTGGCTGGCCGGAAAAGTAATTTTTACTTAAAATATATAAAAACTTTGCTCAGAAATATAGTGAATCAAGGAAAATTGGCTAATGTACAGTGGATTTTTTTCAAAGCAAAACATTCGCCAGTTATTCATTTGGTATTCAAACAACCAAAGAATAGTAAAAGGAGAGAAAAACCTAGGCAATCTCTTTCTTTTGCCTTAATATCTAAAAATATTTCAACAGATATTTTTTAAAAATGTTTCTCAAATTGAAAAAAAAAAGTTACTTATAATTAAGTTAATAATTAGCAAGATTCACTTATTTTTGTGTGATGTTTTAACGTTCTATTCAGAATAAAAATATGTAAATCCCTTTAAACAAGATTATCATTATAAAAAAAGAAAAGGAAGGAAGTTAAGAGTTAGCATTTAACAGATGAAATGTCACTACATATCATTAACAAAAATTACTGTGATAAAATTACATATCAATATGTTATATAATATGATACAAGGATTTTATGAGTCTCTTTATTACTATTACTATTATCATTATTATTATTATTATTATTGTAATGAAATTGCTCTAAAGGCGTTTTAAGACAAGTAAGGAATTGGAAACTACCTAGGGGTAAGGCAATAATAAATTACATATCATAATGGATATCAGTTGGCCGGCCATGTAGGTATAGAATTCAACGAGTTGGAGGCAAATGTGGAAATCATTTTCAATGTTAATAGTAAAGAATAAACTTTCATTGATTTTACATTGTATTATATACTATATCAACAAAACGTACAGTTCTTTTAAGATTAATTTTATAATGTAATTATTAAATAATAATATAATTTATTAAATATTGTGAATTAAGAGACTCAAGTCTGCTAATAACTATAACACCACATCAGTTCTGTCACAGCAAAAATGTGCCTTTGATGTCTATTATTTAAAAAAAAAAAATTAAAATTGCACATATCTATATGACTAAAATGTACTTCATTGGAATGATTTCCAATTTGCAACTTTTCTCGCATGAATCGCTGGATCACATTGATCCAAGAGGTCCCTTAGTGAATATAGTTTCATAATTAGGTAATAAATGAAATATTTTTATACTCCATATTGGAAGTTGTTGAATTTATTATTGTTGAAATATTTTCATTAATTTAATCTCATATAAATTACTGATTAATATTACAGGTGGTCTCTGATAAACATATTATATTTAAAATAAGTCATACCTTCATCATTTTTAAATATGCTATTTATACATAAGCTTAATCATACAAAAAAATAAAAAAATATAGGTTTAATAATATAAGATATTGTTAACCCGATATCAAAAGTGCAACAAGTCAAAAAACAGTATTTTGAGAAAAAAAAAATTGTTTTCAACTTTCAGAATTCATGGAGAGACGGACCAAAAGATATAACAAATAATTAAGTTATACTACTTCACTATGTTCAAGATGAAATAATTCAAAATTAGATAATTTAGAGGTGTTACATTTTTACACTGGAGCACAAATTCAAATTCAAAATAATGATAATTTGAATTGATAAATAATTTAACCATGGGCTCTAATATAAGTTTTATATATCAATGGCGCAATTTTATTAGACTGTATTCCACAGTCCAGTTTATGTACAGACTACATATAATACAGATATATTTATTAACTGTGAATGTATATCGGCAATTTCAACTGAGAAAAAATTCACTGGAAAATGGTTTTTAAAAAACCAAATGTTACAACATGAAATATTGCATAACTGTTTGTTCTAGTGAATTTACTTTTTTTGTTTTTTTCTAAGAGAAGAAGTAAATTAATTTTAACAAATGGACTAGTCATATAGAAGGAATTTTAATTCCCATTCAGGGAACACCTGTAATAAAAAATTCTTATGTAATTATTACAGTTTCCTCAATAAATAATCACTATTAAAAATTTAATCATGCAAGAAAAGGAATATTGGATGAAATTATTGAAATACTATTCCATCGGGTATTACTCTAAATAAACGAGGAAACAGCTGGTCAAAAGTGAATTTAATATGTTTATAATATGAAATTTAATGAAATTGATTAAGTTTATAGTGATAAACCTTTCACTTACAGTTTGAACTAAAATTAATAGATAATCAGAAATATAGTAAACAAATAATTGAGGAACTTGTTACCAAAAGTGGAAATAAAAGTGGACTTCAGACCGAAACTGAGATTTTGATGAGGCATAGTAGGAATCCTAAAGCTTTTCAGGTCTATTTTCTAGCATATGTGGTCTTGTCAAATTTGTTGGAATTTATTACTTGAATGTTTAAAGTGTTTGTTACTCGGATTGTTAACAAATGACTTTACCATCCAAGGGTGATCTCTAAAACATTAACTGTACGACCAACTATCAATATGTGGCATCACTGCTGTCCAGTGTCGCACCACCTTTTCACAAGTTTGTATTTATTTGAAAATTTATTGATAGTAATGCTTTTATAGTGTCACTCAGTGTTTATTTTTAAACTTTTGAATATTCATTTGTCCTTCTGTTGTTTTGTTACTCTGAATAAGATGTAGAAAGACAGGAGTGAGGAAATGAGAAAATGTCATTCTGTGAGGTAACAGGATAGATAGCACAATGATGAAGAAGAATGATACTGAACCTAATCGTTTCTTTAAAAAAAAAAAATGAATGTAAATTTAATCACAAATGTAAGATTGTGAAACCGAGAAAATATTATAGGTTTCTGAATTTTAAGAAAAACAAGACACTTCCTTAGGAAAGTTTATATTAGTCTTCACCACAAATATACATAGGTATCGTCCCTCCTTCTGGTATTAAGTTTTGGTAAAACTGAAATCCGTTTCAATTAACTATTTTTTAAAGATAGAAACAACAAATAAGGTGGTGCAGAAATTTTCATGCATAAAATGCCGGTGTCGTAAAGTGTAGGATGTTGCATATCAGACAACTAATTTATGTGGGCACATAATCCAAAGAAAAATGAGATTACAGACTTGTTAAATTTGTAACATCTCAAAGTTACAGTAAGAAGTTATAAAAAAAATATTGAAATGTAGGAATCCCATTAGAGTAGAAACAAGAGCAAGCCTGTTTAACTGGGATTTGTTTATTCTGCTATTCACTTGCAACTCAGAAAGAAAGGTCAAAAAATCGAATACCTACTTATTATTAATGAGGATTCTATAATTACTAATAAGGATTCCAAGGTGTACAATATAGTCTTGTGTTAAATGAAATGCAGAGCTTTTATAATTCTAGAATATGTTTTTTGAAATTACTAATAAAATGATGTCCACTTTTAGTAAAAAAAAATCCTCAATTATTTATGCAGTAACTGAAAAAGAAATTTGATTTTTAAAATTCGTACTTAAACACCCAGTATTATTAACTTATATAATATCAAATATTATCTTTGTTGTTCCACTAATTTCATACACAAAAAATTTAGTAATACCGTAAATATATTCAGAAATTTCAGTTGCAACTTTTAGTAATATTGTTTATTGGTAGGTCATGAATTATTTATAAAAATAGTTTGAACCATATAAAAATTTAAAAAACATAGATTCGTTCTTAATAATTTTACTTAAGCTATATGTATTATTTAAACATTTTCATAAGAAATAAACGTAAACTATAAACCCCATTTAATAAGATTTGTATTATAAAATTTTATTTGTATTTAGAATTCATGTTATCATAAAAAGTAATTAACAACACCATATGATAGTTGTGATACCAAAAGTAATTAAAATTTCAAATATTTGAAGGGAAATATTATTCTTACTGAGATGTGCTTCCTCATAATATAAGATTCAAATAATCTAATTAAAAATATATGCATGTATATACAATACTTACATATATATTTATTCTTTGATTCATTGTTGTTGAAAATACTGAAATGATTGATACCCTTAAAAATATATTCAGAACTTACATCACTTATAATGACGTGTTGTAAATAAAAGCAATATGAATGAATGAAACGAGTAGGGACCCTTTGTCCTCTGCAATACAGGGAACAATAATAATCTATATCTTAGTTTGTAAGTTATTTCATTATATTTCTCAATTATTTTCAAGATAGCAATACTCGTAAGAGGCTGAACTGCAATCGAAGCTGTAAAGCCCGACTTAAAACTTAGCCAAAGTACATAATAACTTTTGCTGAATTAATTGGCTGACAAACCTTATATTTTCTAAAATGTTACGGTTTCAAAGTAACTTCATGAAAAATATAAAGCCGACACCCACTTTATAGTTTATAAAAATTGAAATATTAAAAAAAAAATCTATCGTAGGAAACTGTATTTTTCAAAAATTCATAGTTATTTTAAACAAAATATTTATAAATCCTGATACATAATATCTATTAAATGTATAAATGGTAGTATTTTTTTATTTTCATTGTTTTTATTAAAAACAGCTATTTCATATTAAAATATAAATTCACTTTAAATGCGAATTCAAGTATTACTAAACAGATAAGGTGTTCAATCACCGATGATTAGAAAATTTAGATTTCTAAGGACAATTAAACATTTTTAATATAAAAATATGTACAAAAAATAGATATCAAACTAAATAATTCATATTCAAAGGAAATCTACAAAATTTCAATGAAACTTCATTGGCATATTATGTAAGTATGCAACCTCATGAAGAATCATTATACTTAACCAAAATATTTGTTATAAAAATAACAAATAATAAATTCATGTGTGAAGTTTGGCTGTAAAATAAACATATCATGTAAACTGAAACATATCATTTCTGACTGCTTCAATGAAAGTATGTAAAGACTTAAATTTAAGACAACTGATAATTAGTTCAAGATAACCTATCTTCTTGAAAAAACAAAATATTTTTTAAAAATTATTTTCTTAAGCCATTCAGTCATTATTAATTACATTTGTTAATACTGATTCTAAAATGTTTATTAAGTTTGTAAGTAATTATCAGAAGATATTTAAAACATATCTAGAATTAATGTTACCAATTGTATAATCAGAAACCAGTATGAACATTATTTTACTTAAAAACTTTTTTTTAAATTTAATCAGCCAATAGTCAGTAACAATATAGATTTTACATCTGATGTTAAAATTGTTTTTCTTAGTATGATGTCATTATTAAATCATAAGTAGTTTCAAAGTTTAAAAAAAGTTGTTAGAAACATCAAAGCTTGTATGTAAAATCAATTTGTAATTTATAAATTTATTTATATATGTTGTCAGTTAGCTTATCCGTTAAACGGATAAGCAAAAAATAATTTATAAAGTAAGAAAAACTAAACTTAAACAAAACAGTTTTATACTCTATAAATTCATTCTATAATAATTAAATATTGTTTATTTTTATTTTTTAGAATATTATTTTGTACTCTAGATAGTTATCAATTGCATGACAGTTTTTTTACTATTTGTGATAATTTATTGTAATCCAAATGAGCAATAAGATTGTTGATTTTTAAAAGTATATTTGAATATTAATTATTACTTTAAATTTATTTAAACAAACCTTTTACATTAAATGTTAGTTTAGATGCCTAGATATTTAATCGCTATTTCAAGATATATTTTTAAAAGTTTAAAATAGCATTCATATTTGTTTATTAGAATTGATTAAATAAATTAAAAATAAAATATGATTTAAAAAAAAATACATGAATGTTGTAATTTTATGAGTAATGAACAAATATTACAGTTTTAAAAAATAAATGGATTTTATCTTCAATATTTTTAAGCTTTAAATTTTTTTGTACTAACATATTATAGCCTTATATAGATCTTCATTTCTATTTCGCATCTTATATCGAAATCAACTTAAAACTATAATAATGCAATAAAGAGAACTTTGTATTAAATTATTATTATTGTAATATTATCAGTGCTCTAGGTCAGGGGTTCCTAAACTTAATACTGCATACCACTTCCACTTTTTAGATAATATGGCCTGAAATCTTATGATACAAGTTAAATGTTCACGTTTTTTAAAAAACTGTAACTTATTTACAAAAGTTTATTTCATAAATAAAACAATATATTACAGTAAATTTCCTTAGTAAAATTTAAAATAAAGTTCAAGAATCCTGAATCAAAATATTATCAGCTTCACATTATAGTAATATCAGCAACAATAAGAAAATCAAAAGTAAATAATGCAAATAAAACTGTATCTAACAAAGTAAAAATTTGGGCATAATGAAGAAAAGCATCCATATTTTTCAGTTGGAAGTCTAATTTATGACAATAAGTACTTTCATCTTTACTACAGTAACCGTTAAATATTATTTAATTAGCTTTATTAATTAAAGTTTGTGTTGATTCATTTTATAGTCGATTCATAAATAAAAATTGTTATCCCTCATTGAACGAGTAAAAAAGATATTTTTCACTATGACTTCCCTTGATTGTTCGCTTACATCATGGAATGTTTTTCGGTATGACCATTTGGAAACCCCTTTTTTTGTTTGGTTCAGAAATTTATAAGAAAAACCTCTAAGTGTAAATATGTAAAATATTTGGAAATGTGCTATAATAATTCATTTAATTAAAATAAATATTGAACTTATTTCAAGAAATTAGCCTGAATATTAATAATTGTATTATACAGCTTTAGATTGGTGGTTTTGATATAAAATGCAAAATTGAAATCGAGAATCATGTCTATATCATGAGGTGCTATTGTGTACCAATACCAATAATTTTTTTAATGTCTTTCATAATCATAGCTGACTAAACAGGAAACGTAATAGTTCACCGATTACTATCTAATATATAAAATGTCATGTCAGAAAAAAATATATTTAAATCACTCTATTAATCAATTATTATGGTTGGTTGATAAGTTGGTTTGATTCATATAATGATGAATAAAATAACCTAATATTGTAAAATTATATAAAGTGAAGTCTCACCAGTAATAAAAGATTTTTAATTTAAATTATAATTAGGAAACTATAAGATTGTTTTAAAAGTTAGATAATTATTTAGATGAGAACCGCACGGGATTTGCATGGTTCACAATCGCTTTGGTCACACTTGTTCATGAAATGCCGAACACAGTCTTTCGGATAGATCTGGATGCACTCGGCACTCCATGAACAAGTATTACTGAAGTGATTGTGAACCACATATAACCCATGTGGTCCTCATCTATATAATTACCAAAAGTAATAATCCCACTTATTCTGTGTTGCTGAAATGTTAGCATAATATCAGTATAATGATTAGGTCTAATTGATTTTTTTAAAATAATGAAGTATATTAATTGTTGTACTGATTGTCTAAATCAATATTAATCAATTATTTTATGTTACAAGGTTTTTAAATATATAGAAATCACGTTTAAGACAAATATTTCATTTAATATATACATATATTCCAGAACTATTGGACAGTTTAAAATTGTAACAAACTAAGATATATATCTTCAAATTGTTTTGCAAAGAGTAGTTATTTAGTTATAAGAACAAAAATTATATTAAAAATTTACGCTGATACTAAAACCACTCCCATAGATCTTATTGTTTTATTTAAAAAATTCTTTAAAAATTAAAGTAAATTCTTAAAAAAATTAAAGAAAATCAAACAATATCCTGAATTAAATAGTTCATTTCTGAACAGATAAGATCTGCATCAAAATTAAATTCTAAACAAAATTATATGTATTCAATCATTTTTTCTTAAATGTCAAGATTTAAAAAAAAATTCAAATTACTCTAATGAATGAATATTTGTATGCTATAAATGATTTTTCCACATCTATATAGATCTTACTGTTTCAAAGATGTATACATTGGGTAAAAAAAAATAAATATAGATTTTTGAACTTTGAATTTGCAGTTTTCATTCATTTAAAAACATTTTATCAAATCTGTTTACAAAAAGGATTTTCAATTCTCATTA